GATTGTTGGATTGAGTTTTTTTTATCAAAATTTGATTTAAGGTGTTATTCGTTTATCAGTAGAGTTGGAATTTAAATTTAATGTATTATTCATTTAGGATTAAGATTTGATTTTAAATTTATGGCATTATTCATTTAGGATTAGGATTAGGATTTAAATTTTAAAGTGTTATTCATTTAGAACTATGATTTAAATTTAAATTTAAAGTGTTACAGATTATTCTAGACTGTAATTAGGACTGGAGTTTTAGAATACATTTGTGTTATGGGCTGCAAATTAACTAAGTACTAATTTCTGTTGCTGGGAAGTCGACGCTTGTCCACCCCAAGCTTAATCAGATCATTCCAAAAACAGGCAACTCGAGTTGTACTAGCGACCAACTCCATCAGCCGACAACTTGCATGGCCGACAAGAGAGGCGATATTTATCAACATATTCTCCATGTTGAGCCCACAAGACTCTACATTCGGCCCGCTATATCAGCTGACAACTTGCGTAGCCGTAAAAAGACAGTATTTGTCGGCCTTCAGCCGAATGACTAGAGAGACAGTGTGTCCTCGAACCCCCCCACCGACAACCAACTATCCTCGCATTATTTGCTTTGACAAAGTCATCATTGCTCTAGCCCCGTAGTCTTTATGACTCATCGCATCCAATCAGTTCCAAGCACCTACTATCTTCCCCACAATAAATGACTAGATGGCTCATCTTCGCCAGCGACCAACACCTATCAGCTGTCTGCCAAGTCAGCTGCCTGTATGGACTCAGCTCAAGTTACATATATGCTCTTCTGATTCACTATAAAAGGAAGTCATGCAACTCATGCTAACTCTCTGGCTTTTCACGTAACTTTGAAATCTTCTTACGAGTTATTCGTATGTAGTGAAGAGCAGCAGGCTCCTGGACCAGCCATCTGAAGAAGCTTGAGGACCCTAACCCAACATTAATCCCTAAATAAACTCCCTGTTCAATAACTGACATCAATAATGTCCCAATCCAACTCCATATTTTTTTCTATTGAATTTGATTTGAAAAAAGCAAAGAAAAATTTTGTGGGTTTCTTGATCTCATCTTGGATTTTTAATATAACATCTATTCTATTGCAATAATTAAATATAATCAATTATGGAATTTAATTTAAATACAATAATAAATACCATTATATGAAGGTATATATAAGGTTATTCAAAGTAATTAAAAACAATGGACTAAAGGTATAAAATATATCTTAATAAAATTATAAAATATTATAAATAAGTATTTGTTTTGTTGAAAATTATAGAAGGTAATTTCAAATAATAAATTTACTTCACAAATATTTTGTTAAAATAAGTAAATATCATTTCTCTTTCTTATAACAATCAAATCAATAAATTGGTACACCTAAATTGAATGTAGACTCAATATTTTAATCAAAATTTGAACAAACCACCTCGAATGCAAGGATTTAACGTTAATTCCTATACTTTTTTCTCCTCACATGCAATTGCATGTGTAAAATTCTAGTTGCTATATAATTTTTTTTGTTCCCCTATTCTAGACTCAATATTTTAATCAAAAGTGAATAATGTTTAACTGTATTTGATAATACCAATTATCTAACAACTTAACTTAATGTTAAAATCCTAATTAAAAATAGTCCATAAATTTAAAGCCCAAGAATTCTACTAAAAAATTTGTCTGAGTATTAAAATAATCCATAGGTTTTAGTCCGAGAATTCAACCTCCAATCCAATAAGCCAAACCAAAAATTCAAGAAATTTACTCAAAATTTTAAAATCAAATCCAAAAATACGAAGCTCTAAACTAAAAATAAAAAATTCTATTTTTAATCCCAATCTAAGAATGATGGGTTCATGGACAATTGTCCTAGTCGTACTCAACAACTCGGAACAAATAATACCTTCTAAGAGATATTTTTATAGTCTCGTATTTTCATGCAGACTACGTTAGGGGGTTTAAGTCTTCCCCTACTATAATCTGCGCAACTCAGAAGCCAATCGATGATCCACAATATAAAAGCAAGTCCAATCAATAAGAAAGAACATACCAAGATCTAACATAGTTTGGTTGATCAATTTTAATCTACATCCACAAGGCAACAATACCAGAAATTCATTATGTATCACGAAGAGCTATAAAAGGAATCTTTCAACTCTCGTCTCTCAATCTCTTAACCTCACATACATAATTAACTCTTATATTCTCTCACAAGCCCTCTCCTTACAATCTTTTGAGTGGATAAAGACTATGAAACTCTCTCAAAGTTGTAATCTTTTGCATGGACACAAACAATGAATCCCTTGCTAATATTGTAATCTTTTACACAAATAAAGAGTACGAAACATTCACCTCCCATGCATTATTCTTGAATCCAATTTATGTTCTCTGCTGACCTAAATTACAAGAACATTAGCTTCCTCATTCTCCTTAGTTTTTCCTACGATAATAGAAGATTATATACATGGAAACCAAAATCATATCTCTAGCCTAATTAGAATATGATACAAACTTCTTATCATGATGAGAGCTAATTTCCTAATCATGATAAACCTCTAATCCTATCAAATTCTCATGAAGATGTACAAAAAAACAAAACCACAATCCCAATAGGTTAAACACTTTTTTCATAAAATATAAATTCTTTTTTTTAATGCTGAAAAAGCACGTGGCCGAATTTAGATTTGAACTATGATGTCACCATTTTAAAATTTCAACATGTATTTTGTAAAGGATGAGCGAGACTCGGACTCTATTATTATTTGTATTTTAAAGCATAATAATAACAGATGACGTGACTTCATAATAATTCACCATTTGGAGGAAACGGTCAAAATGGCCTACCGAAATTAATTAAGCAGTCAAGAATAGCACGCACTTGCGCTTTCGTCGGGGCTTTTTTTTTTTCTCCCAGAGGAAGTTCGAAGTCGTACGGAAAATCATAAAAGAGAGGCGTTTTAAAGTCCCTCACCAAAACTAAGTAATTTCTTCCAAAGATAAAGAGTTCGTTTTTTATATTATATCATACTCTGATTTAATTGATCGGGTGCCTAACTATAGACGAAAAGTTAGACTCACACAATAGCATCAAATTTGTTAAACTGCGTATTAAATTTATGGCCAACAGGATTTGAACGTGGGGTTGCTTTGATACCAAGTTGAGCTCCCTAACAATTATCCAAAAACTCATAATTTATGGAGATGATGAAAGCTATGTTTTTATATTCTAACAGGAGGAACAACAATGTGTAGGGTCTTAAATAGGTAAAATTAGTGTACATTTCAAAATAAGAACATATGTTGCATCATGGATATATATCACTAACTTTAAGATCTTTGCCATTCTCCTTGGTTTGTGTATGAATTTTTATAGAG